GCCCCCCCCCCCCCCCCCCCCCCCCCGTCAATGACCGTTATTTTTTTCATCAACAACTTGGTGTCTACATCGGAGACGATGATGGTGATGAACGCGAAACCTTACTTCCCCCCCCCCGCCGCCGCTGCCGACCGTTCTTCATCTTGTTATACAACGCCTGACAGACGTGGTACCCGCACTCGGTGTCCATGATGCCCAGCCCGGACGACCCGCCGGAGGTTGACCCTCGCCGCAAGTGAGACTATTACAGAGGCTCGTGGCCCCCCCTTGGCTTGTCTTCCATTGTCTGTTTGCCCTGGCCGGAGCAAGCAAATGTTCTTGTACGTGGTTTGTGTGGCCTTTTCAGGTGTCGGGGCAGGAGGAGGGGTGCGATTATGGAAGAGAAGTGGGCGGCGGCAGTAGTAGTATGCATGGCAGCAGCAGCAGCAGCAGCAGCAGCAGCAGCACAGATAATTTTATAGTTTCGCGTGACCCTAGCCCACACGAAACGAAACAACACTCCGCCGCACCAACAAGAGCAACGTAGCAGCAGCAGCAGCAGCATCAACAGCAGCAGCAACACAACATGCCTGAACCAAGCCCAACACGAAAACTAACTTGCCATCCGCAGGGACCCCGACCGGCCGGCCGAGGCACCCCCGGTGCGCATGCCCGTGGTGGACGTGGGGGGCAGCCAGATGGACGTTATCTCGAGGCTGCTCAAGGATCGCATCCTTCTTTTGGGGCAGCAGGTGGGTGGGGCGGGGCGGGTAGGGGTGGGGGTCGACGGTCATGGCTGGCAACGACCGCTTGAAGCAAAGGCAGAGGGCGCGTTTTGTTTCTGGCCTATCGATGAGAATGCTTACTTTGCGATGCCAGCTGATGCATGCGTCAAGTGTGTGTGTACGCGGAGAGGGCGTGTAAACTGGCGGGACAACACACACACGCACACATCGATGTTGCATATGTTTGTATCGATCGTATCGGGTGATGCGTCTCCAATCGCTAGAATGTTGGCTCACTCCGGTTGGCTGGTGTCACGATATCCAATGGCGTGGAGGCGCTGGTGGGACTGCTATTTACCGCTGATCGGAGAAGATCGAAAACCTCCAAGTCGATGATGCGCAAATTTTGGAGAACGATCGATCAGAACTAAAATAGCAGGTCACCACCCTTTGGTTGCTGCCTCGAGGGTGCTTGACCAATTTAACACGACGTTGTGCGATCATGTCTTTTGCCCGGAGTGAGGGTTCTCGACTACCAACAAAATATTCTTCTGGACGACCATTAGGGTTACCATAGAAAAAATAACCAGAGGCCATCAAAAAATGCGGTAACCTGGTTGCCGAGCTTACGAAGTGATCGGCTTGTTTCTCAACGTCGTTGGCAAGTGACGAACACCGAGGGGGGGGGGTGTACTCATAGTCGTGCATGCCATAGTCGTTAGGGGTCTGGAATCTAGTCTTGGCCCATCCACACGCACGCACGTGCTCGTTCCGATTGCGTCCCACCGCGTGGAGCAGGTTAACGACGAGGTCGCGAACGTGCTGGTGGCGCAGCTGCTGTACCTCGCCAACGACGACCCCGACAAGGACATCACCCTCTACATCAACTCCCCGGGGGGCTCCGTGTCTGCGGGCATGGCCATCTACGACGCGATGCAGGTGGGTGTGGTTGTTGTTGTTGTTGTTGATGATGTTGGTTGTTTGCATCGACCTCCGTGCCGTGTATCTCGGCTGACCGATGAACAGACACAAGTTTCGGTGCGGCTTTTGTCGAGAAGTGTTTCTGAAGGCACGTGGTTCATCCCTACCTCCTCCTCCTCCTCCTCCTCCTCCTCCTCGTGGTTGTCCTTATCCTCATCGTTGTCCTGTTGCTCTCATCAGTCGGATGGTGTCGATTATCGATTATTTTCGACGGGTGTGGTTACGTGTGTGCCTGTTATTCATCCGTTGTCCCTCGATTTACGTTGCTGCTTGTGTCACTGTTTTTTTGCGGATGACCCTTCTCAGTGGTGTTTGGCGAACGGGTTGGTAGAGTCACACCCATCAACAACTTTGCACTCGCAACATCATGGCTGCCATAATCGCAAACAACGGTGCACCAACCTCGGCCACTCCCCTCTTCAACACAGCCTTCCTTCGTGCTTGGTGGTGTTATCTTACTAATCGACCGGTGTTTCTCGTCAATAAAGTATCTACAGAATTTTTCTCCACTTCACTGATGGGATCAATCGACCTATCAGTATTTTTTATTTATTGCATCCCCTCCCGACCGTCTCACTGTTTGCTGCACTCCGCCACCTCCGTTTCAGTTCACCCCTTTTCTTTCCACCCTGTTGTGTTTCTATCCCGCACTCCGTTGGATTTCATCCCTTGCCGTTCATACCCGTTCTGGTTCATCCCGCTCTGTATCCCTCACTATTTCATGCCGTTCTGATCCATCACGTATATGTACACCGTTACATCCCGTTTATTTCCGTGTGCCATTTCAGTACGTGCCGTGCGATGTGTCTACCGTGTGCTTCGGCACGGCGGCGTCTATGGGGGCCTTCCTTTTGGGCGCGGGGGCTAAGGTACGACAGATAACTGGTTACTTTCTCCTTTTCAATTTATGCGAGGTTTTGGTTACCGACTGTTGTTCGTCCCGATGGCGTCGATATTCTAAATCAGATTACTGCAAAGCAAGCGTGTCGTCCCCACGCTGCCTCAATCATGTGTTGCTGTTGTTCACACCGATTTTGTCAATCGAGTTCTACAAATGCGAGGTTTTTGTTTTTTCATACAACCGATTTTGTTCTTTCCCATGGTCTGTCTTGAATCGAACCTCTGAAAAGCAAGCCTGTCGTCCCCACGCTGCCTCAATCGCGTGTTGCTGTTGCTCACACCGATTTCTTAATTCGAGTTCCTGTGTTTCCGTCCCAGCTCTGTCCAAGCGTCCAACGTCGCATTGGTTGGGCTGCTTTTAGAGTGTTCAACTCAACGGCGGTGTCATTGTCGCACACGGTGGTACTGTAGTATTCCTCGGTATGGTAGCCGTTACATCGTTTGAGGAAGTGGTGATGGAGGTCTGAAAGGCAACGTTGTACCTTTTCTTAGACTGGAAGTTGGCACGATTCACCGACAACATGAGTTCATAGCGCCCCGTTTTTCGTCCTCTTCTGCCCCCCCCCCCCCTCATATTCCTCTTTCTCCCCATCATCTCCCCCCCTCCCTCGTTCCTCCCGTTCAACGTTCCGCTGCTCTATCGTTGGTTAACGCCATCCCCTACTTTCTATTTCTCGGCTCGTTCCTTTGGACTTGTCTGTTCAGGGCAAGCGCCGATCGTTGCCGAACGCGCGCATCATGATCCACCAGCCCCTGGGAGGGGCTCAGGGGCAGGCCGCGGACATCGAGATCCAGGCTAAGGAGATCCTGTTCATCCGCTCGCTCCTTAACTCCTACATGGCGGAGTACTGCGACCAGCCCGCCGACAAGATTCAGGTACAGAACACTGTTATGGTGCTCCCGATAGCACTCTGCAGTGGCAAGAGTGCTCCCGACAACAATGTATTGGTTGTGATTTGTTTTTGGTATTCTTGCTTTTGGGATGACTGCTATCCCGACTTGTTGACGACTTTTTTACATACCCTTCCTCTCGTTAGTGTCGGGATGACTGCGAGCGCGACTTCTTCGTACACTGGAACAGGGCAGACATGTGTACGAGCATGTTGATGCTTACACTTCCTCTCTCCCATACTCTCTGCTTGCGGTCGGGATGACTGCGACCGGTACTCCTTCATGACTTTTTTTGCTTTCGCTCTCTTGCTTCCTCTGTGCTTGCTGTCGGGATGACTGCGACCGAAACTTGCTCATGCCTTTTTTTTGCGTACCCTCTCTTGCTTCCTCTCTCCTTTCTGTCGGGATGACTGCGAGCGCGACTTCTTCGTACCCTGGAATAGGGCAGACATGTGACGAGCATGTTGATGCTTACCCTTCCTCTCTTCCTTCTTCTCCCCTTGCCGCCAGGATGACTGCGACCGCGACTTCTTCATGACCCCCGAGGAGGCTATGGACTACGGGCTCATCGATGAGGTGGTGACCACTAAGACCAGCCACATCGCAAAGCCAGCGATGCCCAGCCTAGAGGAGGTCTTCTAAGCTCATTTTTTTTTGCGTTCGTTGGGCACGCATTTTTTTTGTCGTGGGTTTTTGTTTCCTGTCGCAGCCAGGCCATGCGGCCAGCCGTTTGATTGGCCAGTGGTGATATTTGATTTTGACGTGTGTGCGTCGTTTTCTGCTCAAGCGGAGGCTGGTCGTCATGGCCTCCGGCTGATCAACCCACGCCGAAAGAGGAGCGGTGAAATCCGAAGACACCCGGGCCATATAACAGCTGCCACTTTTGCGGAGCGGTTGCCCGTGTGTGAACGTGGTGCCTGGGATCAATTTTGTCGTGTGCGTGGAAGTGTGCTTGCTGCTGCGGCGTCTGCTGCTGCTGCGGCGTCTGCTGCTGCTGCAGCCCAGAATCTTTCGAGCGGTGCAGGCCATCTGCTTGACTTGGGCACGTCAGCCCGTCTATCGCGAGATTGTTTGTCGTCAAGGCATCGCCTCTGCACTTGGCCCCGAGATGGCGGTATTATAGCATTTTTTCGGCGGGCCTTCTCGTTGTAGGTTGTCAGCTGGCGTGAAGGTTCTTGATGGAACCCGGATAATAACCCGCCCACTTTCCGGCTGGGGTGGCGCGGGATACCGAGGCTGGAACCGGGTAAACGTTCGAGAATGGTCGGTAGTGCGAAGACAGAGGCAATGACGAGGACGCATGGTGGCAGCTTTCAATAGCTTACGATCGGCACAGACAGAACAATGGCGGCCTTGTGCTTGCAAATGAGATCGGATCCCCTTCGGAACCGACGAGGGTGTTGTATAGCTCCTGCTAGTTGTCAACGTCCACGCTCATTTTCAGACTTGCTGAGACGGACGAGCACACCCCCCCCATCTCCCGACATGAAGAGGGGGTCAGTAGAGGCGACGTGGGTTGATCGACCGCACCCAATATGTACTCCCCAAACCCAAAACAATTAATTAAATCAAACACCCCCATATAATTTCAACTTCTGCTGTAGGCAGGGTGTTGTTGTTGATTGTTTCCCAAAAGCTGTTTGTTTGCGTCTTTCTCGCTCCTTTTTTTTGTCAAACAACGCAGGCAGGCTTGCGTTGAAGTTTTGGCGAAGGTATTATCGCGTCTGTCTGTTTTCGTCCGACAAAGATAGTACCCAACGGATGCATGCACACGAAATCTAATCCACACCGAATGTAATTGAAAGGAAACGGCCCGAGATAGTAGTCCGACGGTAAAGCCTCGCCCACACTAACATCCTGCCTAAAGTTGAATGGACGCCATGCCATCAGTGTGCTGTTTCTGGCTCCTGCACCCTGGCGATTTATGCTACGTTACAACGCCCTCTGTTGCTTAGGAACTACCAATGTTGATCCATGGCATGGTCCCGTACTGGTGCTCAAGTGTAGGTGGCAATCATTCTCTCTCAGGGTGAGCGCGGGTAGGTGCAACAGCAAATGTTTCTGGTTGTGGACTTGGTGGGGACCTACCTCCTCCTCCTGTGGATATTTTGTCTAGCTCGCACTCATCGTCCGGCCTCGACCATGCTTTATTGATTTGCTTGCGGCTCTCTTGTGTACCGCTGCATCTTAGTACATGATGATTGTCTTGGTCCTTGGCTAACTGCTGACGTGGAACAGAGTTCCTTTACTCTTGTACAGAAGCAGTACAGCAGGAGTGAGTGGTAAAATGAATGGCGAACGAGGCATCACAACGGACCCGGAAGACACGGATTTACTACAGCAGCAGGACCGTTCTTCCACACTTACTTGTTCTACGCACCCTTTCCTTGTCGCTAGAACTGCAAGGATGGATGATGGATGGTTGCGTGGTTACCATGATTGCAAGAGTGCGAGGAGAGTCGTGGCGATATCCGACCAACAACTTGATCATGATGATGTGAATGACACTGCACTCAGAACCACGATCTAGGCAGAATGTTCCCCCCCCGACTTTTCTTGACCGACGGCCCCCCGCCACGCAGACCATCGGGATTGCTGTAGCAACAAGCAGACCAACAAGCTTGGAAGACCTTTCGCTGTGCTGCTGCTCTCAAACTGTAACCCTTCTTGGTGAAAATGAAGCCTCCCGTTAGAGAACCTTCTGCTATGATGGCCACCTTGGCCTTTGCGGCGGTAGGGCTCGTGGCGACCACCACGTCGGGCACCGGTGGTGCTTTCGTGTCTTCTCCGAGCTGCTACACCAGCAGCAGCAGCGGCAGCGGCAGCACCCGCGCAGCAGCAACAAGGTCATCGTGTCGCCTGCGGAGCGATAGCCGGAGGTCAGTCAGCGTCCAGTCTTTGCTGTTGACCGCAGTGTTTCTGTGCCGACGCGAAGCTGCAGCCGTGTGTTTGTGCTGGCTTGTGTGTTTTGCATCATTCCCCGGCTGCGTGCGGTCTGGAACGCAGAGTTCCCGTGTGAAACCAAAAGAGCAACGTACCGCAGGCACGGGGGTGTTTGGACGAGAGCCCCGCAATGTTTTGGCCCCCTACCCTAAGCGTAGGGGCCTGTGGGGGCAAGAGCATGCACCTGCGGTGGCGGTATGACGACTGCTGTGTCGCTCTTTCTGAGAGCGTCAAAAATACGTAGGTCTTGTTCGTCATGTGACATGCGGTGTATGTAGTCTACAGAGATGGAGATATGTTTGCAGACGTACCTTCAACTTGTCGGGGTCTGTTCCATGCAAACAGCGAAGTCTCGGAAGCAGTACATCCCCCCCCCACCCCCCACCCCCCCAACGCTCGCGCACCCACCGTCATGTTGATGCTACCCCTTCATGCCCTCATTTAAGAAAGTTGGGGGGGCGGGGCAACAACATGCTATTTGTATACAACGCCTTGTGTGGAACAATCAAGGGACGTGCTGTTGAAGACTTCTCGGCTCGCGACTGGCTCTACTAGTATGTCATCACAACATCACAGGGCACATGCTTATCGTGTACCATGCAGACAACCCGACGTCTTGCTACACAGCAGCCGGAACTACTGTAGATGCACACCAGCGCCCGGACCCGCCGTAGGCTGGTGTCTGTTCACTTGGTCGACAACGCTGGGTGTCGATCAAGATTCAGCTGTCCTTCCTTGGGAAACTCTTTGAAAGGGAAGGATACGCACCGGGGTACAGCAGTATTCGAGAGCATTTTTTTTGTTTTTTCGTACAACTATTATTTCTGGACGAATGGAGAGGGGAAGTGTTCGGTTAAAGTGCAATCAAGCGCACACGTTCGTACCGACGCATGCAGGTGCTATCACCGCCCCCTCGCTTTCGTCTTCTGGGCCTTTGGCAGCGGTCTTTCGGTCTTTCCAACCCCTCCCCGCCCCCGCATATTCCTCAGCAGCAGGGAACGTCTGGTCTGTTGTGGATCATTCAATACAATAGAGGACCCCACCCCGCGCCCAAGCCCACAATCGAAAATAGTGTGCATAGCGTGACAACCTGTCGACCACGAAACCAATGGCAAATGCTGCAAATTCTCTGTGAATGTTTTCGACCCCTCCCCCACCCCCTCAAATCACCCCGCGGCAGCACGGGAGCGGGGATAACCAGCGATATTCGAGCAAGACATGGTAGCAGCAGCAGCAGAAGCAGTGCGGTCGGCCACTCGTCCTCTCGAACCCCGACGGCATTGATGGGGCTCCAGCGAGGGCCGGGGGGTGGGCGGCGCGATGGCAGCAGCAGCAGCGGCGGGGAGACCGAAAACGCCGTCCGGAGAACCCCAGGGACCGGGGACGGGGACGAAGCAGCCCAGAGCGGTAGGAACGAGGGGGCCCCGGGTGTCACAGGAGGGGGGGGGGGCGTGCGTGGCCGAGGAGAGGTCGTCGGAGGAGCGGCAAGGCGAAAGGAGAAGGAGGCAGGAGGGTCCGCGGCGTTCATGGAGAACGACTCCGCGACCGTGGAGAGCGGCGAGAACAGCGCCGGCGTGGTAGAAGTAGGCGGCGGGAATTCCGCTGGTGGCGGCGGGAGCGGGGTCGGGGACAGAGGGCCTTATTCCGCGGTGGCGGCGGCGGAGGCGGCGAGGAGGCGCATCAAGCGCGCGCGCGTGGCCTTGGAGGATGCCCTCGACGAGCTGGGGTTAGGCGGCTCGCCGGCGTACATGAACTTGGATTTCGGGCCCCCTGATGGTGGAGGTTCAAAGAAGAAGGAGGTGGAGGAAGTGGTCGGAAAGGAGGGTCGGGGGTCGGGGTGGCTGAGCCAGTGGAGAAAACGCGGTGAGAGTGCAAGGTGCAAGGCCGAGTTATTGTGTCGGTTCGGGTGGTCTCAGTGTTGGCACGGGCAATAGAACAAGCGGGTCTAATTTCTTCCCGCCTTATACAGTTCGGAGCTATTTGGGTGATTGTGCCGCGTGATGTGCGTATGTTTTGATGTTGTGAATCGACGGGACTGCCTACAAGTATGTATGCAAATAATGTAAGATAATTACGAAAAAGAGCAGGGAGGGGGCACGCAGACCGTAACCCCAACCCTAACCCCAATCCCAACGTACCCGATTCTATACTTTATCCACTATGTTTGATTGCTTACAAAACCTGAATAGATAACTGAATCGACGGGAAACAAGTGTGTTGCTTGTTAACAAGGCTTTGAACTACCCATCCACCCATCCACCGTTGTCCGAGGTGTGAATCGTGATTATCGTGCGAGGAGCATCCGCGTTGATCCCTCCTTTTGCTCACAATTCGGTCGTTGCCTTTGCAACACCCCAGCAAGAAACCCCCCTCATATCGAATTATTTTTTTCTTGGTTTCTCCCCGTGTTCCGCCTGTTACACGGGACGGAACGCCTTCCGGCTAAAAATATGGAACGGGACTCCCTCCGGACCCCGGAAAACCGGCAACCAGGCGGTGGCGCCCCCGCCACCCCCGACGAGATGTTGGAGCGGTTAGAGGAAGCGGTGGAGGAAGGGTTCGAAGCGGTAGGGGAAGCCGTCGAGGAGGGGTTTGAGGCGGTGGGGGAGAGCGTGCTTGCGCTGGACGACAGGGTGGAGAGGGCCAGAGCGTCGGTTGAGACGGCGCTGAATGAGCTGGTGCGGTGTGTGTGCTGTGTCTGTGTGTGTGCTTGTTGAATTGGCATCTACCGAGCTATTCAGCTGGCTGTTCGGTGAACAATGCGTGTGCGTGTGCGTGTTTTTATTGTTCGCATCGACGACGCTCTCCGGCTGACCAATGAGCAGACGTCAGCCGTACAGGGGGATAAGAAACGCAAATGTGCGTCTGTGCGTGTGTCTTTATTGTTAGCTAGCATCGATTGCGCTAGCCGGCTGACCGATGAAGAGTGACCAATGAAGAAACGTGCAATGAAAAGACGTGCATATGTGTGTATGTGTTTCTCTAATGTTCGTTGACCAATGAAAATACTTGAAGTCCCAGTGCGGCTGAAAACAGAACATGCTTCTAAAGGCCATGGTTCGGGACCCCATGAGGGCGGTTAGGCTATTCTCTGGATTTATGGCAGAAACGGTGGATAGCAGATGAAGGACAAGTGCGTATGTGTTTGTGTGTGAATATTTTTGATTAGCGTTGAGCGTCGATGTTATTGCCGTATCCCTAACCCTGACCAGCTGGTCAATGACAACCCTATTATAGGTGGGTTTGAAAACAGCGGAGGGGTCCTGATATTGACAACACTTGAGTTGTGCGGGATCGAGAGCGAGACACACATGCACACACACACACACACACACACACACAGAGAGAGAGACACACATGCACACACACACACACACACAGAGAGAGACACACATGCACACACAAGAGAGAGAGAGAGAGAGAGAGAGAGAGAGAGAGAGAGAGAGAGAGAGAGAGAGAGAGAGAGAGAGAGAGAGAGAGAGAGAGAGAGACATCAATCGTTCCACCCGCCGCCGCCCACTCCCCTCTTCGATGTCGCATGTTTATCTTTCGAATGTTATTCCTAGGGGCTAACCGTCCCTTCCAAGTCGACTCCTGGAGGGCAGGAGCAACAAGGGAGCAGCAGCGAGCAGCAGAGGCCAGCGGGGGGCGACGCGGAACAGGCGGAGACTATCGAGGGGGGGGGGGCTACGGGAACAAGCCCAGGTGTTACGACGGGAGGCAAGAGGCCGCGGTGGTGGATCCCGGAGCAGCTGCGACCCTCCCCGGTAGCGATGGTGAGTGCATGATATTACGAGGACGTCTCCCGTTTCTTGGGTGGAGTTGTGCTGGGGCCGTGGCGGTGTGTCTTTGCGTTCCAGGGCCTGTTTTACTACGGGTTGTTTGTTTATCTGCGGTGCTTGGTTGTCGTTCTTAAGCTTGGGTGTGGGTCGCTCTATCTGTCTCTCGTCTTGTCACGTGGTCCTCCGTCTCATGACCTGGTGTTGAGGCAGCAGCAGCAGCAGCAGCAGCAGCAGCAGCAGCAGCAGCAGCAGCAGCAGCAGCAGAGACAGCGTGTTATGGCGGCGAACGTAGCGTAGTTGAAACGGAGAAAAGGGGAAGGTTCTTCTAGGAGGTGCCATGCTGGTTGCATTACCCTGCTTTGCGCGGGTGCGCTCCTATTTAGCGGTAATTTTGGTGCCGCGTGCGTGCGTGCGTGCTGACGCTCCTCTCTCGCTTGGAATAAGAATGTTCTTCGCTCACTTCAACGAGAAACGTTCTTCACTGACGTGAAAAATCGCTCTTTTGCGCACTTAAAAACATTCTTGCTCCAATAAGAAGAACCCCCCTTTGCCCACTTAATAGAACGCTGTTCCGCCCACTTGAAAGACCGCTCTTTCGCTCACCTAGAAAACGCTCTTGTCGCCCACTTCTCTGACGACACTATTGACCCCCCCCCCCCCCCCCCCCCCCCCCGGGGGACGAAAACACTTTTTTTCCGTGGTACATTTTTTGTAGAGGCTTTTGTTAGTTTTCTCCCTCTCCATTGGTTATTATCCTTTCGTGTGCTGGTGTTTTTTTTTTTTTTTTTGTTCTTCACTTCAAATCAGCGCTCACAGCACTAGTGCCGTTTATTCCAACCGGTGGTCACACAGAGAGCCTCTCTCTACCCTCCCCTCCTGCGGTACTTGGCCTTCAATTTTTAATGCGAGAAGAGTTCAGCACTCTCTTCCCTTTGCGTACACACGAACTAGCGCTATCCACTGGCCGGGAGCGGAAGCGAGAGAAAACTCACTTTGCAAGAAAAGCTCGCCTACGCCGGGATTCGAACCCCTGACCTGACCTCTAGAAGGTTACGAGGTTCCCAATTAGACCCCCGGGGCGCCCGGCGAGGGGGGGGGGGGGTGTTTACGGCACGCAGAAGTGCACAAGGGCCTTGTTACCACGTAGTAGTTGTTGGATAGGTTTGAGATAATTAATGGTGTGTACATTCGGCGCCGGAAGATTGTTACTTCGTACAATAAATAACTAGCTGTGATGGCAAGTTGGTGACGGGCTACAAGTTGGTTTTCAAGTTTTGGGAGTACAGTGCTTGGGGACACCCCCTCAAACTAGAAGTAACTTCAAACTTTCAATGCTTCTGCGACAAGTCCACGACATTTAATTTGACCTCG